CATGTCTAATTTTGAATTTTAGTGTTTCAGTTAGATTTAAATGGGATTCTCCCCCTTTTTTTTTTAAATAGCTAACTTATCTAATTTTTTAATTTAATTAAATTATTTAAATAAATTTTACATTAAGGCCAGAATGAATATAAATCTATAAAAATTACTTGGCAATAACAAGTAAGAAACTTAGTTCCAGTATAAAAAAAAAAACAAGTAAGAAAACAAATTAAAAAGAAAAAAGAAACAAAGAAGCAACTGTTTTTTCGGCCTGAAGAAAGAAAAGAACGTTGCCTGCCACTAGAGAATTATTTTATTGATATCTTTTTCTGAATTATTTTATTTTATTGCGTGAGTAATCAAATAGGTGGAAAAAAGAAATAAGACATTAGAAGACGCGTGTCGGACCAAATAACGTTTTAAATTTAATAACAAAAAAGAGGGGCTATTTCCCCGTTTTGGATATCATAGGAATGTGTCACATACTCAGATTATTAAGTGATATTCTTTTTTAAGAAGTATATTGATGATTGATTTAAACAGTTGGAATTTGACTTTTAATGAAAGAATTTTGCACAAATATACACAATAGCGAATACCCACAAATTCAAGCAAAAATTGGAAAGAAGTTTTGCATTTAAAATTTTATTAATAACAAGAGCATAAATTTTTCATATACGGACAATTGAAGGTTAAAAATCGATGGTTAATTTTATACACTAATTTAACAACTATAAAAGATTTTTTAATATACACATACACATGTATATTTGGATATAATGTTAATTTAGTTTTTTCAATGGAAGAATTGGCATGTTATTTGCAGATTTGAATTTAAATACATGATATTCATGATCATTAATTTGAATGGGAGCAGAATAAAAGGTTCATACATATATTTATGGCAATTCAGTGGTGGTAGTAAAGTACTACTTCCGTTTTAATACAAGATTTTGTTTGACTTTTATTTTAGTTCTAAATATAAGATTCTAATCCACTTTGTCTCTCATATTTATATATTTTTTCTAAAGTAATCCCTCTAATAATAGTAGGTCTATATAACAAATTTGATTAACAAGGATATTTTAAAAAAAATAACACATATTCATTATAAATAACTAACTTAACTAAATTCATTAATCTCTCTAAATTAGTCAACTGGGTCTTATAATTAAGACCGGAGGGAGTATTTTATTATAATATATTGATACGATAATTAAAAATTACTATATTTGTAGTTAGATTTTTTTTTTCAAGTAAAAGAGAATATAAAAGCAAACAAATAGTGTACGTTTTGGGGAAAAAAACTCAGATCTCATATGTTTATAATCATTTATTAATATTAACAAACTTAATAAACAAAAAACCTTAAATTTGCAAACAGGAACCGCAGTATATGATCAAAATCAAACATATGATTTGTTGGGAAAAAAATCCAAACTTTATTGCTCCAATTTTTTATACCAAATTTATAAACAGCTCAAAGGTTTTGCAAATGCGGGAATTTGTTGTCATGTGACAGAGAATTCATTTGTTAGTTGTTTCATTTGGATCTTGCAAACTGTAAGAAGGGAATATTCTCTCTCCTCTCTCTCTGTCATCTGGTATATCTCTCATCCGAAGATAAAGGGAGAGAGAAGAAAAGAGAGGCGACTCAAAGGAGGAGGAAGACACGAAGAACAAGGAAGAGTAGCTCCTCCAGGAAGAAGGGTATAGGACCATATTCCCTTCCCCTTCTTCTCCTTTGCCTTTTTCCTTCTCTTTCGGATATTGCAGATTGCAGCTGGATGGAAGGGAAGGAGGGCAAGCGCAATGTCATGGCGGAACATACGGAATCAAAGGTTGTTGGGTTGAGATTTTGGGAAGCGGCTGCGGCTTCAACCGTGGTATTGGGTTTTGTGTTAGGTCTTCTCTCTGTTTACCTGACCATTCCTGATTCCGATTATAGCTTCCTCAAGCTCCCTCGTAGCCTCGAAGATCTTCAAGTCCTACGGTAATGATATTGTTTCTCTCCCTTCTGTTTTATGACTGGAACACACCAAATTTTACCTCCATGTATTATTCCGTGGCTAATATGTTTTGATGTTTTGGATCAGACGTTTACCTTTCTGGGGAATATTTTTACTGATTTCTCTCTGCGTCGAAATTTTTTTCTTCTGTTGAATCTGACGCAAAAGAAAAAGGATCATTTCTTTTAAATAGTAATGATCGCTCAAAATCATTTGGGTAAACTTTGGGATTTGCATCTTTGCTTCGACCTTCCATTGGTTTTTGGCGTGGAAGGATTAGTTTTAGAAACAATGTGGTCACTGAAACCTAGCAATTAACTGTCTTAAAAGAGTCACATCGACCTTGTTAATCTTAAACAAGCAAGTTTTAATTCTACCCCTACCCCTGTTTCCTTCTTTTTGTTAGCGCTTGGAGAAAAGTAGATCTGAAAATGCTTTTGAGATGGATCCAAAATCTTGAAAGAAGTACTTATTTGAAAATTATTAAAAAGGACAATGACAGAGGTGTCATTATAGAAGGGAGACTAAGAAGTAGAGATTATTGGCGGGAATATGATGTGCTGCTAAGAGTTGATTTAAGAGCATCTTTATCTGTAAAATACACGAGAACACATGCGGGGCCTCTGAAATATATTGATGCTGCCAGTTGCTATCCGGATCTTTCATTTAGACTTATTAGGGTGTTAAGCATTTTTAGTTCAGAAACATCCTCGAGTCTTTCGTTGGTGAATGAGATGAAGTGAAATCTGTTCTGATGTTTCCGGGGTGCTTGTCTTGAATCTTGTTGAATAACACTCTTGCAAGTTGTGTGTTTTTCATCAAGATGTAGGCTTTGAAGTGAAGGATCAATGGCAGTTCTACTCTTAGCATCTTCATTTGGGTGTTTGGGCCCGGGGTGGGGTTTGTTTGGGTGGGTGGGTGGGGGGGGTATATTTTATGCTGTCATGATGCATGTAATCCAACTGATTGATAATGGAACTATTTGATGCAATGACATCAAAGCTTCGTGTAGAATGGAGTCAACCTAAATTTTTCATCATTGTATTAATGACCGTGAGCTGGCGCCATGTTGTGTTGGGGACTTGCTGGGAGGAGGGTGTCTTCATGTTTTTCCACATGATGTTTGTCCTTTAATTGTCATCTTAGATCGGGGGGTGCGTTTTTTTTATAGTTGATGTGAAGCATATTTCTTTTCATATATAGTGTGCATATTGGATAATGGTACTGAATTTGGCAAGGGAAGTCGATGAAGTATAATTTGCAACGGTTTATCCAATCTTTCTTGTCTTTTCTTTGTTTTTGTTTTTGTAGAGGCCACCTTGAGAACTACACAAGTGACTACACTGCACAGGTCTTGGTAGGTTACTGTGTGGTATATATTTTCATGCAGACCTTCATGATTCCGGGGACTGTGTTCATGTCGTTGCTTGCTGGAGCACTCTTCGGTGTATTCAGAGGTGTTGCTTTAGTTGTGTTCAATGCCACAGCTGGAGCTTCATCTTGCTATTTCCTGTCAAAACTGATTGGGCGACCCCTCGTTTTCTCTCTTTGGCCAGACAAGCTAAAGTTCTTTCAGGACCAGGTTTGTTTCAACTTCTCCTACAATTCGGATAGAATCCATTCTATAAGTGGAATTAAATTATGCTTTTTACTCCCAGGTTGCTAAAAGGAGAAAGCGTTTGTTGAACTACATGCTTTTTCTGAGACTGACTCCAACCTTGCCTAACACATTTATCAATGTTGCCTCACCAATAGTGGATGTGCCATATCACATTTTCTTTCTGGCCACTGTTATTGGACTCATACCTGCTGCTTATGTGACTGTCAAGGTATCTAAAAGCTGTTTAACTTGAAAACTGAAGTTGGAGAATTGCTTCTTGGACTGGAGGGGGTATCGTCCCCTTCATATGTTGCCTAATTCATATCCTTCCTTGCCTCCTTCCCTTCAAGTCAACTGCTGAGTTATCCAATTTTGTTACATGTGCAGGCTGGGCTAGCTCTTGGAGAGTTGCAATCGTTGAGAGATCTATATGATTTCAACTCAATTGCTACATTATTTCTCATAGGAGTTGTTTCAGTTACACCTACACTAATTACCAAGTCGTAGTGTTTCTGAAGCTTCTTGGGCATGAGGCTCTTGTTTTCCTGACAGCCAATGGTTCTCTAATTCAGGACTGTACAGATTTACCCGAAACGATCACAATGTGGCTCCCTGCTTATGGATTATGTTGCCAAATGCTGCAGTAATTCAAGATGATCATGGAGGAGGAAACGTTAAGCATTAGGTTTAATTGTTGTAATGGTTGCTATTGGGGTTCAGAAATTCCAAATTCACCTTCGGTTGTATAGTCACGTACTCACATAAAGTGTTGATAAGGTGGGAATTTGTAAGGCATTCGCTTCATGACTAGTGTATATACCTCGGTTGCTTTATGCCATTTAGTCAGTGTGGTTTCATATCATCCAAGGGGAACATCAGTTATATACAGTAAGTATTCCATGCTTTGTGTTCTAAGTTCCCTTGTAAATATCTCCAACGAAGTAGTGGAACTTTCATGATTCCTTGGAATATGGCGCTCCTCCCAGTTAATTAAGAAAAAAAGAGCCATGAAACTAGTTTCCCACTCGTCAATAAATGAATGGATAGGACTGGAATAGGGTATTTACTACTTACCAGTTCGATGTCACCCTTTGCCTAGTGCCTTTTTGGATATTTTAGGATTAAATTTTTTGGATAAAAATTTCTTTACTTTCGCATGGATTATTTCTGTAACATATCTACATTTTTAGGATTAACTAGTCGTCGTAGTCCTCTTCTTTCGAAAGTTAAGTTAGCAGGTCCATGTTTAGGGAGAAATAAGCGCATGGCCATATTCCCTCGCGACGGCAACTGAACTAATAGCACTAATTTTGAATTCTAAAAATCAAAGGCATGCTTGCCACTGTAAGTGTCGATATTAAAAACAGGAATTCATTATTGGCATAACATCATCATTCATATTTTTTCCACGTAATTTTCTTCATTTTCAAAACAAAACTCAAATGATTCGATTTGATTTCTCTATTGAACCACATCAGAAGTCTCAATACAAAATGGAAATAAAGTAAAGCTGATCAATTCATCTTTTAATGTGTCTCCTTGAGGCATTAGAGCACCTCGATACTATGACAACACTGCTACCTATTCTTCTTAATTTTCTTACTTTGTACAGAGCTGTCTGGAGTTCGACTATCAAGCTTGCGTTTCTTTCCTGCATGTTTTGATGAACCGTCTTCCTTGAGCAATTTAGCTTTCAGTTTAGTCTTTCTGGCAGCAACTGCTGGTCTTTTCGTCTTGCGCTCTGTCGTTTGCTCACCTCCGTGGGTTTTTGATTTCTTATGGACAACTGTTTTGTTTGCCCGCAAACCTTGGTAAGACATATTGGATTTTCTATTTGTCCTGTTATTACCGCTTGAAGGAGACCTTGCAGCCATCGTCGCCTTCTTCGCAGGGGTACCAGAAGCTTGTGGTGGGGACAAGTTTGGCCTTTTGGATGGGGTGGCATCCGCTCTTGCATGACACAGTCTCAGCTCTCGGTCTCGGAGCTTTAAGTTACGTTTCCTAACAACAAAATTAGCAGCTTCCTGCATTTACAAGATATAATTGTATTCAGTGAGATTTACAAATTTAGGTTTCAGGTAACAGGACCTGGAGACAAAGTCCAAATATTCTTCTTGCTTTGGCAGAACTGAGGCCATTTCCTACAATAATTCATCCCCAACGACATTTCTCAAACTACCTAAGCCTCTGATCCCATCAAGGACAAATTTTAATCTAAATCATTTCGTTCAAATCAAGGAGCAATAAGTTGCACAAAGTAACAAAAATCAACACAATGCCACAGTTAATAATATAACTATAACCTTTCTTCTTTTTTCCAACCAAAATAGTATAACCCAGTTGGCAGGTTCGTCTTTATATTCCCCAATCCTCCTAATTCACTCTATTGCTGACATAAATTATCCCACTTCATTTCATTCCCAGCATACTCTGCATGATCATTTGATCTTACAGATATTCTCCATCTCCTCACATTGCCTAATAATTGAGCTATCTACTTTTTATGTTTCCAATGTTCTGGAGTCTCACATTCTCCCAACGCAAAAATATTTTAAAAGAAAACGATCGTACCCTTGTTTTAAACAGCACATAGGCGATACCCTTCCCGATATTCAAATGAGGATCTCTAATGACTCTAACGGCTTCTATGCTGGATTCCAGGTTGGACGTACCAGAGAATAGTTTATAGAGTTCCTCATCCTGCAGAGAAGAATAACCTTATATTCACTAGTAAATTATATATAGGCAACAACAGTGGCAACAGTGGAAGCCTATGACCTCAAATAAATAACCACTAAAGGAAACATACCTTTACATCAAATGGGAGGTTGCCAACAAAAACAGTTCTCTTGTTATCATACAGAGGAGTATGCTCTCCTTTAAGTTTCTTGCGAGGTGGGCATGCTCTATCAACACGTATGTGATTTCCTCCGATCTACATGCGTAATGAAAAACCAAAACGAAACATTTATACGCAAACGTGCAACCCCAAAATAATAAGCAAGCCCAAGTTTTTTATCAGTGAACTTTGATGAACAAAAACCATACCACAGCCATGTTATGGGACAAAGAATCCTGAGCTGACTGCTCTGTCTTAAAAACAATGTATGCATGAACGCTACAAAATACAGTAGTAGTCAGTTAGAAATGTCTAATGATACAATACACCGAGAATAAAAGAAATCTGAAAACAATTTCCACTAACTTTCTGCAAGAGACATTAATCGGACTGGTATTAATGTTATTTCATACATATAGGCATCAAATTATAAACGACATATTCTCCTGTATAGGTCAGGCCACTTCTCAATCAGATACAGAGAAGCAAGTTCCTGGGCAACACGCAATTGTTTGTCCAACAATCAACTTAAATTAAAGAAAGAATCATAGTAGATGTCCAACTACTAGATTTGCACAAAATTAGGGATCATTGAGAATAACACTAAATGGATGGAGGAGGGGAGAACAGCCTCAAAGTTACTGCATATCTAACACTAAGTACATTGTTTCCAAGAACTTGAAATATATTGATCAGCAAAATTTCTCATATTGCCAGATAATTTTCCATCATTAAGATGAGAAGATTTAACAGCCTGAAAACATTTAGTTTACTTGAATTGAATTCAAAAGTATGCCCAACATGAAATGCCCTGTCTTCATATCAGACTGTCTTTAAATCGCCCAAAGCAAAGTTAATAAATTAAAAGAAAGTCAAAATTTCCCCGTTAAGAAACATGATTTTCAGAAAATACAAATGAAACTTTCTTAGCTCTCCATAGCCAAGCATCAAATTCGGCGAGGATGATTTTTCCGAACCTAAACAAACAGGCTTCAACTGGGTAGTAGAAACATTAAAATAAATACTAAAAACCATTCATACAAAACCCCATTTTCTACAGAGAATTAGCAAACTACTTTATTTGAGATGATGTCGGTTGTTCAAAAGCATTACCTATCACCAGCATCATTGATTTTCTTCGCAAGGATGGCTCCCTTTCTAGGTTTTTTGGTCTGATCAATTATAAACAAAAAATAAAGTTAGGATCTAAACCAACAAAAAAAATTGAGGCTTTACAAGGTAGCAAAGAGCATAAATTAAATAAATCAATTGAGAAAAGGAACACCTACATCTAATATTGGGACAGAACGAATCCTCACAGATTCAACCTCCCCAAATTTCCTAAACTCCGCCAATAAATTCTTCTTTTTCACTTTGAGCGGTAAATTCCCAATGAATATCGTTCTCAAGAGCTTTTTCTCATCATCAAAACCTTCATTCGTTACCAACATGTCAGCAGGATTATCCACCGTCTTCCTCTTGGTCCCAACGACATTTTTCTCCAAGCCTTCCCCGTGATCTTGCTCTTCCTCTACTGCCCCATACCTCTTTAATTCCCACTCTTTCTCAACGTCGTCCCTTTTTCTCTTGTTCTTCTTTCTCTTCTCCTTGTCACCATTTACAAGCTCACCTTTCTCCTCGCCTTCCTCAGACACAATATTTTTATTCTTCGATAACGCAGTCGCCTGTGCACCCAAATCAGACACTTTGGCCTCGCCATCCTGCGGTGTTGTAATTGATTTGGGAATCGAATGAGAGTTCAAGTCGGAACCGGATTTCGACTTCTTCCCCGAAGCTTCGAAGGCATTATCTGAATCAATAGACGAGTCCTTCTCTTTCCTTTTCTTCGTCTTCTTCAAAACTTCAGAATCGGGGCTATGGGAGACCGCGCTACCAGCGTTTTCAGTATTATTGGTTAGGCCGAAACTTGAACTAGTTTCAAGAGGTTTCTTACGAAACGGGTTGCTATCTGAGAACAGAGAAGAGCTGGCGCCCTGTTCCGATACATTACCAAATAGCTTGCTAAATATGTCGGAAGCACCGCTGCTTTTAGGGGTTTCCTTGGGCTCCTTGGGTTTCTTCTTCCCCATTTTCGATTGAAAGGAAAGGATCAGAAACCTATGAAGCCTTGTTCCAGAAACCCTAGGATCAGTTGAGGACGATAAGGGCGGCGAAGGCAACTTGAGGACCGTTCGGGGTCGGGATGGCGCTCAATTTGGCATCCACGGTTTAGAAATTGAGAAAACGGGATAATAATTTAAAATTTAAAAATGATTGTAATTTTCTAATCAATTTTATGAAGTAGAATTGTCCTGAAATACCAAATTCATAAGGTAATTATTAAGAACGCTTTCAAATTTGTTATTCACATAACATAAATTTACATACAGCAAATTTACAATTAAAAATATAATTAATCTTATTTACCACTTAATACATTGTAAATTTACGACTAAAAAGGCATTTAGATGAAAACTAAACCATGACTTTAAAAATAATTTTACGGTATACGAAAAAAATATGTAAAAGAATTTATCTCAATTTGAAAAGTACTTTTTGACAAATCCAAACACCTTTTAAAAATATAATTATTACTATTTATCACTTAAGCAACAGAGTAAAAGATTTGTGAATGAACTTGGCAACACAACCAACTTCCGGGGCCTTTCTTTAGAGTCTCGAGTTGGACACACGATTACGATCAAATCTCAGTCTGCTCCCTTGAAATTTCCATATTCAATACAAATTACAAAATAGAAATGTTGCTCAAAGTGTAATTATCTCATCCCATAGGATCCCAAAAGCCGTGCTGCAATGGAAAACCACCTTACTGATTCCAGTTTGGTCCACGAAAATTCCAATTCCTTGGGCCTTGAAAAATCACAGGTACAGCCAGTGGGTAACAGATCAATTATAGTTTGCTCACTATATTTAAAACTGACACAGCATTTAATATTTTGTATGGACTAGCATATATATTTCTGCTGCCTTGCTCTATCAGGTCAATTTGTCAATGTAAATATAAAAGAAGCCACCAAATCTTGTCAAGTCTATTGGTTCTTCTTTAACTTGGAAGTGCCAACGGATGACTTGAGTTCTTGATTGGAACTTCTTTTGTTTATATTCGCAGTGGAACTTCTCGTTTTGTTTATATCTGCATTGGAACTTCGGATTATGAAAAGAAATGTCTCAACAAGCATGCCACCCACCAACCCTAGAACTCCTCCGGCAGCATTCTGAGACAAAGATAAGAAACGGTAAAGCGAAGGGAATTGACCACAAAACTGAAGTGCTTGTAAAATAATACTAATTGTTTTAATTCACTGGAAAAAAAAACAGTTTTCAGGCAGTACCATAGCAGGATTGTGGTTAAACAAAGCTCTGAATGCCGCATATCCAAACAGATAGCCAGTAAACATAGTAAGCGCAACATGCAATCCTGAAAAAAGGATCAATAAGAACAAAAATCAGAGTTACATCAGAGTTATGCAGACATGTAGATGATAGGATCAGGCGAATCACAAGGGCTGAGACCAGCCCTACCAGATTTGAGCAAGCCATACTTGATTACCTATTTCGCATTTTTTGGAACATCAATAGAGTTATTGGCACTAATTCTAACGGCAAACTCTCAATCACCAACAAAGGACTGGGAGCAAAATAAAATCGCACAACCCATAGCTTAATAACAGAAATGTGTATAGCGTGTTTAACCCAAACATTTTAAATATTCATGCTCATGATCGGGAAGGTACAGCTTCAAAACACGGATAAAATAAAGCCTCCTTGGGTTAGTAATTTATATGACGATCCATATTGGTCTAAAACCCTATCCATAAATAATTTTTCACCATTTGATTAATCCACAACGTTCCTGGACAGCACCGTGTAGTATAGTAAATTCTGCTCACCACCAGAATGATGTTGCCAAAGTCAAAGTTGAGATTGAAAAGAAACAAGCTACTACTCCAACACAGAAAAGCTTGTCTAATCTCAATTCAGAAAATTCACAAACGAGTTTCTAACAGCTTCAAAAAGGCCACTTGAATGGGTCTCACTTACTTAAAGTGACAAGGTAATCGGGGTGGTTACTAAAAGCACTTGTTTATACCGAACAAAAAATGGAGCTACCAGCCACATAACTTGAAATCTTATATTACATCCAGGACAGAAGATGTAAAAGTGAACATGACTTTACCAAACCCTAATTGATCCTTGTAAGAAGAGAATGGCTCATTGACATCCTGCTTCGGTGCAATATCCTTCACAAGTTCTTGATATGCTTTCTTCTCTGCTAAATCTTCAAGTTTTTTCAACCTCGCCTTCAATTCTTCACTCTTCACATCAAAAGCAGCTCATAGAAACAAGTTAACACAAAAATGAGTTTACAGAACCTTTCAGTAAACTCAGTCCGGAACATATACAAACAAGCATCATAGTACCAAAATTTCAGATAATGATTCAAGCAATACAAATTCAACAGAAGTTCCCTGCATAATAGTTTGTTCATTCTTTACAATTTACTGTGAGTAAATTTGAAAAATATGAAACTTAAATTTACCTTCTCTCTGGGCTTGGGACTGGAGAAGAGAAACTGGGTTCCAGAGAAGAGCTGCATCAAATCAGGTCTTGTCAATGGATCAGAAGCCATCCAGATGGCACGAAGTGACATGTATGGTACATTAGGTTGCCTCAACAGATTTGAAGCAGTTTGCTGGAGTTCCTCAGAAAGGCTCGGGTCCTTGGAAGCAACGGAGAGAAATGAGATAATAGATTCAGTGGCAGAAATCACAAGCCCGAGGGGGTTTGGCATCTTGGTAGTCATGAAAGCAGGATTAGCTGAGTGTTCTGCACGTAACAACCGGCTTGCCTGCAATTATACTCAGTTTTTTAATGCACAGAAAAACATAGTGAGCAGCGAGCTCACAAGACCTTTTTTTTTTTAATCTCAACAGTTATGTTCCTTCTATCCGATGCCATACCTTCTTAATTTCACTAGAAGTCTGACAGTATAACTCCCTCAGTCCTTCTTTACCCAAAAAATAATAATAATAATAAAAATAAAAAAATTTTGCCAACCAAAATCAAAGCAGTGAGCACCTGTTTTAACAATAGCTGAAGACATAACCAAACATGAAGTCGGATATCTTCATAAGCATGTTACACAGGATTAACTGGCGAAATCTGAAGAGATTCATGTAGGATGATAATTTACTCAGAACATCTAGCAAACTCCACAAGGATTCCTTGAAGCTGCCGATAAGTTATCTGTGGATGAATTTTGTTTAATTAGACATATCTGCATTTCCAACAGACATAAGTAGATAACCAACTTATGATGAAGTTTCTGGAAAGCACGAGGAACTAGTGAATGACTAGTCGACATGTGCGGTGTAAAGGCTTTCTCATCCCAGTCACTCCAAATATAATTTGCAATTATTCATTTGTAACAGGTTGATTTTCTTCAATTCAAGTATCAGCGATAAATACCCACTGTCCCCCCGGGGGGGGGGGGACAAAGGCAAATGTAACAAAAGGTTAGACATGATCTATAGCAATTTCTATCCGACCAAATAAAAAAAATGCCGAGCTGGTAAGCATAGGCGGACCTATATCACACACAGAAGGGGCAGATGCCCCCACTGAAATCTTTGAAATATGCATAGTTGATATCATACCCTTTTAATTTTTATTCCAGATACTTTAACGAAGATGTCTCAGTAAGCCAATTGATTCAAGCAACTCCCAGTAAGCCAATTAATTCAAGCAACTCCTCCAAGCCACTGGAGAATCATAATGATAACACTTGAATTTTATGATCTTACAATTAATTAAATGAAAAAAAAATAAAAACAAAGCAAGAGGACGCTGCGGCTGGCGTCGGGCTCCCGGTTGACAATGACGCTGGGAACAAATTCAAATCTAGATTCAAAGCCAAACGGAACAATTCAACCTCACCGGATTTTGGGAGGAGACAAAGTTCGTACCTTCTTCAATACTTGACGGACAACAACCCCGCACGGCTGACAACGTGAACGGCGGCCGACGGCGAGCCCGACCAATGTTCAACGCCGAACCAAACACGAATCTGCTACTGTTACTCGCACCCGATGAAGGTGGGCTGCCACGTGCTGGGGCTATTGTTATTTTAGACCCCAAAAAAAAAATCTGAAAATCTGATCCGCGGTGGAGGTGGGAATATAGGTGAGTACTGTAGGGTTGGCAGGTTTTAAAAAACCGACCCTACGTGACTAAAA